GGGCCAAGACGCCGGCGCCGCGGCCCTGCAATATGAGTGCGCAGCCTGGGCGGCCGCCGTGGTGGATGCGGAGGCTCTGCTCGAGAGGGCGGCGCATGTGCTGCTGGGGGTGGGGGCCGACAGCTCTGCAGACCTTTACGGCCACCTGCGGAGGATGACTCAGCAGCAGCTGGGCCTCAAGGTGGGTGCGTCAGAGGGAGAGAGGGACGGAGGAAGTGTGAGGGCATGCATGCGCGTGTGTGTCTCAGCGTTCCTCCCTGCGTGCGTGCGTGCGTGTGTGCGTGTGTGCGTATGGGTGCAGAATGGGTGTGAGTGTGTTCAAGCAAGCGTTGTGTGTGGGAAGCGGCCGAGATGGACGGACGCATGCATGCCGTTGTGCTGACACCATTGACAGACGCCGGCCGGCCCAGGGTTGAGCCGTGCCACGGTCGGCATTCTCGGAGCGGCCATGCCTCTGCACCCCTAGCTGCTCCCCTCTTGCGAAGACCAGCCTCGTGCGACCACGCGCGCCTGCGACCTCGTGCGCCCATTTGCGCACATACACACACATACACACACACACTCTCTCTCTCTCTTTCGCACGCGCGTGCACACGCGCGCACACACACACACACACACACACACACACACACACACACACACACACACACACACACACACACACTCACACTCACACAGGCGCACACGCACACACGCACACACGCACACACATGCAACTCCACGCCCGCGCACAGGGCGACCTTCTGCTTTGGCTGCTCAACCCCATGCTCGATCGCGGGGTCGCTGGCGCAGCCGCCGCCTGGCGGCGCCTGTCCAGGCGCGATCGAGTGTTGCTGGATTCCCTTGAGTTGAGGGAGCGCGCGCTGGCTCTGGCCGCGCACCGCCCGCACGCGTTCACGCTCGAGGGCGGCGGGCGCGCCCACGGGCGTGGGTGGCGGCAGGCTTGGGACGCGGCGGCTGCGCGGGTGGAGCAGGTGCGCTGGCAGACCGCCGGGCGGCGCCTGCCTCGGACTGTGGCAACGGGGCAGTACGTGTGGTTGAGAGCACGTGCGTTACCGTCTATCTTCACAGGTCCTGTGCCACCTGGGAAAACGACACAGCACCACCTTAATCACCCGCGCCGCTGGCCACCCGCCCTTTTCTGTGCCCCGCCGCCCACTTGCCTGAATCTGACAGGAGCGCGACTGGGACGCCTTCTCCTGGAGCGGCGACGAACGCGACGGCAGTGGCGCCGACGCGGCAGCGGTGGCGGCGGCGGCGGCGGTCGCGGAGGCGCGGCGCCTGCGGCAGGGCTGCGGCCGATTCGCTTGCTGCACGGGTGGAGTTGAGTTGGAATTTGGGCCTTGCGAGGAAGGCGTGGATGGCGCTTTTGCGAGAGAAGCGGCCGCAATGCAGCAGCAGCACCAGGAGCAGCAGGATAAGGAGGAGGAAGGGGCGCATGATGAGCAAGGGGCCAGTCCAGCAGAATGCTCACCACCAGCCCCACCAGCCGAAGGGCCCGCTCAATGTGCCACGCAGCCAAGTGCCGACGCGCCTCGTGCGGCAGGCGAACAGGCCTCCGAGCCCAGCCGAACTAGCACCGCCGCCGCTGCAGACGCCGCTGTGGCGTCACCCCTGGCAGGCCCACCTCAGCCGGCGCCCGAGGAGCCGGCGGCACCCCCTGCGGCTGCCGCGGCGGCGGCGACGGACGCCGTGGCGGGCGGCGTGCTGGACGAGCTGCGTGCGCTGCTGGAGGGCGCGCTGGTGCCGCCTGGCGCACCAGCTGGATCGGAGGCGCGCCAGGCGGCTGCCAACTTGGCGGGGGCGTTCTCCGAGTTTGTGGCGGCCCAGGTCCAGGAGTTGTGGTTGGGACAGCAGCAGCAGCAGCAGCAGCAGCAGCTGATGCCTCACGGGCAGCAGCAACTGCCAGTGCAGTGGGAGGAGCGGAAGGAGCAGCAGCAGTGGGAGCAGGACGGGAACGAGGCCGAACGGCGGCTGCTTGCACTGCAATGGGAGGCAGAGGCTGGCGACTCAGGAGCTGCCGATGCGGCGGCTGGAGCCGGTGACTGGACAGCGCTAGAGCCCAAGTCAATCTGGTCAAACCAACCTCGGCCAGGGTCCAACCAGCCGTCAGAGCCAGGACGAGCTGTTGGGACGACGCTCGACTCGTCTGAGGTTCTTTCTCTGCTGCAAACCGTCGGCGCCGGGGCGGCGGCGGCGGCGCTGAGCATCGGCCATTGCGAAGCAGCCACGCATGTGCAGGGGCCGCCGTCGGCAGCGGCTGCGAGCGCAGCATCGCCAGCGCGGGCGACGCCGGCAGCCGGAGCAGCATTGCCCTGTCAACTACAACCTCCTCTGCCCGCAGCAGCAGCCCCGGCGGCCACGGCTGCGGCCGTGCTATGGACGGACAAGCGGCCCAGCCGGCAAAGCGAAGGCCGCCAGTCGAGCGGCGCCAGCGCTGGCGGTACATCCCGGCCACAACCAGCCGGCCAGGCCGCTGCACAGCCCCCCTCCACCACCCCAAGACGTGGGCGCGTCCAACCGCGGCCCGCCTTGGGGCCCGAAACAGCTGCCAGCGCAGAGCGCACGCGCCGCACGGAAGGCGAGCGGCTGCCGAAGCACCTGCACAGCGACGTGGTTGCGCCAGCAGCGGCAGGCGGCCCCGGTGCGCCGCTGCATGGCGCTGTGGACTCAGCAGAGGCCCGCGCCTCCCAGGCAGGGCGCTCTGGCCGGGGCTTGGTGCCGGTTTCAGGTCGTCGTGCGGCCGCGCATGCACAGGTGGACGCTGCGACGCGCCAGAAGCGGAATCTCAAGGGTCGCGTTCCGGCGGGTGCCCATGTGGCACAGGATATGCTGCCGCAGCAACCGCGGGAGCAGCGGGTGCGGCAAGAGCAGCAGCAGCAGCAGCAGCAGCAGCAGCAGCAGCAGCAGCAGCAGCAGCAGCAGCAGCAGCAGCAGCAGGACAGCAGCAAGGCCTGGCCCCAGAGCGCAGCGCTGCTGTTCCCCAGCCCTGCCAGCGGGAGCACTACTGCATCGCGCCCCTCTACAGGGGTGCAAGCAAGTGCTAAAGCTAGTGGCGTTGGCATCCCCCACGGCCGTGGAGCGCCTTCTCCCAACAGATGCGCGTGGGTCCAGCTTCCAATGCTGCCGTTCACGCGCCCGACGAGCAGGCCAGGTGGCAGCCGAAGCGCCGCTGCATCACCAGTCCCCAGCCCGCCGCTGTCTGGGAGCCGGGGGGCTTCGCCACTGGGAGCGGTGGCGGATCAGGCTTGGGCTCCTGCTGCTGCAGCCGCGCACGCGGGGCTGTTTGCACAGCAGCAGCAGCAGCAGCAGCAGCAGCAGCAGCAGGGTGAGCAGCTGACGGCGCGGTCATCAGTGTGCCAAGGCAACCAAGGCCCGTCCTCAATAGGTAGTCAGGAGTCTAGCGAGGTCTGCCTGCCACACATCACGGACCCCACAGCTGAATCCACCCCCCAGCGCCCGCGCAGCACTGCAGCCCCCGCCACGTCACGACCCCCCGCGTCGGCCGGCACTGGCGCCGGCATGCCGTCCGCTGGGCGGCCGGCGGCGGCGCCCCTTGTCGCAGGCGCTGGCGGG